GGAGCAGCCCTGGGCCCTGTGGGGCTGCACAGTCCATACCAGTGGAGGCTCCAGGCTGCTCTCCCATGGCTGCTGGAGACACGTCATGCGGCCTCAGGCTCCTGACGCTTTCCTTGATGGTTCCTTGTAGTCATTATCCCACATTCCTTCTGGTTGCAGAACATGTTGTTACTCTTGCTGTGTGCTAGGTCTGTCTCCTGTCCCTTTTTTTTTGTCCCAATCTGGCCCTGTTTGCTCTTGCCTCTAAAACAAAAGCAAATTAGCGCTGCAGAGGCCAAATTATTTTGTTTATGTTACGGTCTGTCGGAGGACCCCATGCCACCCTTGCGCAGCTCTCTGAGCAGGGCACCGCTGAGTGAGGAGACATGGCAAGGTCAGTCAAACCCCCCTGACACCTCACCTGGATCCACGGGTTCCCCGGAGGGGCTTTGAGGGAGTTGCTCTGGGGTGAACCAAGGCTGGGGAGTGATCGCTGCAGCCCCTCCATCACTAGTGGCACTTTAAGTATGCCTGTAGCACACAGAATTAGTGATTTTTTACGGTAAATTGTAGCTCACAGTTCGAACTTGACAGCTGTCAATGAAATTTGCTGCTCAAAACTGATCTTGAGCACATTGCCCTCGGGTGAGTCTGTCCGCTCTCCCTCGGCCAGGATGTTTCTGGCATCCAGGGAGTCTCTCACGTTTCCCAGTGCAGTAATGCGGCTCCAGGAATCAAAGCCATTTCCAGTCCCTCGGTATCGCATGAAACGAATGAGATCTGCTAAAGGCGCTCGTCACCGGTGGTAGGAACGGGAGAAACAGAACTGCACATGTTGCTGTAATGATTCTACCTTATAATGAATGATGTTTTCTCATGTTTGCAAACGAGCGTCTGATGGCCGGTGCCAGAGTGGGAGACACGGCTTGGCTGATCCCGCTCTTTTTGTAATTTCTAAACAGAAACAAGAGTTAGAAAATTACTTTGTGGTGGGGTGCATATATGTAGAATGCAAGTGTATCTGTCTTATACATATGCAAACCGCCAGACTCCAGCAAAACCATTATAACGTGCGATGGCACCGGCACTAATTAGCCGGAGATCCAGTCTGTTGCCCTCTGCCAAAGCAAACCGGGGTTATCTCCATCTCAGACTTCGCATTTCCTCCTTTCTCTTTCAGGGGAGGAATGTCTCTGTCACCAGGTGTTGTGACCCGGCCCGTCTGTAAGGACTCGCAAAAGCATTTCAAATTAAAGTTCTGAAGCCGTTCTTGCCGTTGGCTTGCGAGCTGCCCATCAGCGCGCAGCCTGAACGCCGGCTGCCGACCCGAATCTTCGAAGCGCTCTGCCCATGAGTGGGAAACCGTCGGTGTGCAGACGCGGTGCAAATCAGGGACGAAATCAATTAGCAAAACGTAATGAGAAAAGAAAGGAGAACAAGAAGCTGGCGGGGGCTGGCGCGGGCCGGGGGAGGGCTCAGCCCCGGTTCGCTTCGGCCCCGCC